CCCGAAGAGTGGTTCAAAGTGCTCAGTGCGGAGCGGACCATGGTCCAGCCACCGCCCTGTGTGTGGCTTACTACCAAATACAGCGCGCTTGTGTTGCCTGTGAAGGGGTGTGGGCCGGCTCCGTACAAATAACGTGACGCCCTTCCACATGCCTCTCAGTCTTATTCCCTCGGGTTTACACTGGATATGGGGTGCGTGGATAGAAGTGTAAGTAGTGTAGTGCAAGCCCTCCTTGGTCCGTAGTGTGCGCAGGCTTCCTGTGGCTGGCCACCTTGACAGCAGCTCCGAAACCGGACGTCACTAATTATATATATAATATCACTTAAGTGATACTATGTAATTACAGACATTTGTGTAATGGGGTAATTCTGTTGCACGATACCTGGGATTTGTAATTGCACTTCGGCTGCGCTTGTCGAGCACGTTTAAAGCTAAACGTTGTAGGTTGGGTTATCCAGCAGTGTAAATGTCCCCGATGTAGCATGAACCATGATGAAACATTTAAATAGCATATTGAGGGTGGCATGCTAGGGGAAAACCATATAAGCAATGTAAGTGGTAACGTGTACCAACATCCTAATGTTAAGGATGTACTGCTGAATGAAGTAATGTCTTCTTACAACTGATATTGCGCGAAATAAACGCAGAATGACAAGCATTATGATACGAACCCATTGCTACCAGTTGGCTACCTGTGTATGCTTCAGAGGAATGTCAGTGGCGTATACCAAACGTAAACCGTAAGCAATTCGTCATGAAGGTGGGAGGCAAGGTTTCAGAGCACTAGTGTTGCGTGCAAACATTGTACCACCTGTCGGCTCACCGCGTGCAGGGATCACGGAACTCAGAGTACGATGAGCGGTTAATAGCGGTGATTTATTCGGTATCCGATGAACAAGGTGAATGCGGGACTGGGAAGGCGCATTGCGCTCCTGTGCTGTAAGGCTACCACTTTAAACTCTAAACCTCAAGAGTGAAGTGCCGCGTTGTTTGCTTTGTGGATAATGGTTAACGTAATAAATGGTTTCATGTTTCTGTCGAACAACGTGGAGCTGTAATGGAGACTTACTGTTAACTACCATGTGGTATGCGTAGCTTTAGGAGCAATAAACGCAAGTGTAAATGAAACAAAGTAATTGGCACCGAACTACATCTGTGCCCCATCATGTATACACATATGAAGAACTAAGTCATCAGCACCACGATCGTGAAGGTACCACGCTACATGGAATGTACAGGAAAGTACAAACCCGCTGACGCCAACGGAATGAACGAGGTTAGTACTCGTAAGCGGAACACGGCCAAAAGACATGAAACTGTAAAGTGGATCATTGCTCAAGCACAATCAAACTGCTCACGGGTTTGCGGCGGACAAATGAATTGGGTCACGTCAACACAGCAAAGCACTGAGTAATGGGTTATTGGTGCTTTTTAAGCTACAAGTGTTAGTGTACAATGAAACCAGCGACAGGTGATATGTTACCTCGGAAATGGATTGGGACCGCGGTTGCTCGATGCTATATTGAGTGGAGGACCTCGGGCACGTCCTAACACGAAGTGACACCTGACTTGTATAAGGCTCAGAAATGGTGTAATTAACTTTGCACAGTTGATATAGCGCGAATAACGGAGATAATATATGTATGTAACGTGACGATGGATATAAGATTGCCTGTCTTCTATACCATTTCTAATGTCCACGTCATCGTTGGAAGCATGTATACATACGCACACAACCACTATGCATCGCAACAGAAACTGGTTGGCTCTTAAAAGGGTCATTTGCGCGTTTCCCGGAGGTTCGCCCTGCTAAGCGCGGTTTTTGCGTGCACCGGTTTGATGTATTCGAACCTGATTGAAGCGATACGTATGGTGATGGTGGACAGCGTAAATATCTATTATGAATAATATGCCTACTTAACTGAATCAACGTGTAGATGCACCCATGGTGGCGCATTTGGCACGGTGTACTGTACTCACTGAGGGCAGGCTGACTTTGCTCACAGGCACGGTAGAAGCATCGGGACGCTCCGGACAATTGGCGCATGCGTCAAAGAATGGCAGAAGATGCAGGCTACGGAAGCAAGCGTAAGCCGACAGCAAAACATATTTAAATAAAATAACTGGCGGCTGAAACGCTGGAGGTTGCACCCTGGATGGACCTTGCTCACGTGCCATCTGGAGACAAACGAGGTGAACAGGTGACAGACGGGCGGAAGACAGGTTGGGCTATGAAGGAAAGGGTACGGCAACGGCGATGTACACTTACCTAAAGTAAGTAGCGGTTGAGCCTCAAGTAATATTTCAACCTGGGCTGGCGTTCACTAGCACGGTAGAGGCGTCAGCTGTAAGCTGACAGGTGACCCAGGAGGCAACCAGGCGGGGCGGATGGATTTTATAAGAAGCATTGGTTGACGAACTGATGCACCCGAAGCACATCGGCATGCGGCAGTAATAAATAACTTAATAAATTAATGAGTACTAAGGTTCCAACCATTTGCAACTGTTCTTGACTTCGCTGATGTGCGTGTAATGCGCTACCAACGCACAAAATGTGAACGCCGAGATGGTTTGAGCCCAGTAATAAACTGGGGAACCAGGTATTCCGGACAGGGTTTCCATGCGCATAAGAGCGCTTGCTTCAGCATTTTCCAAAGCGCAAATCCATAATTTCCGTGGCTCTATATTGGCAAATGACAAATGAAACTGGGAATACATGAGAAGTGCGAAGCTTTTACACTACCTGACTAAAAGCTATATCGCTGGTGGCCATTCACTGACCGGATGTGCATAGGAGGAATTAATCAATGGTTAAGGTAAGGGTAAATGTGGTACTGCGCATCCAGTGATTAGGACGGAGCAATGAACTGGGTTTTGGAAGACACGGAAATGGAGGGGTGAAATTACTAGTGATAGGTACAAAAGACTCCATGTCTCACAGTAGCTAGAAGCGGTGCGAGCCAGCGAAAACTTGGACTTGGAAGGGACATGTGTATTTTCTTTGATTTACTTTTCTCTCTTCCCCGAGGTCTAAAGTTATCAACAGAAACTTACCAAGGATCCCATCTGGCCTGTTTGTCTGCGGCCGAATAAAACTACGAAGCGCACAGTGGATCAAACCAGATCTCCGACACACTCACTCCCATGCTGGTCTAAAATCACTGGACAAGTTGACTTGGATGTCCCTATCCAGAGGATTGGCGCAGTCTAGGCCTGTCTACCAAAAAGCCTTCAAAACGACTGAATCCCACAAGCTACCTGAACCACACCAAAACTACCTAACCCTTAGTCCCGCCTGGCAAGCGTCCAATAGCTCGCTTATGGCTTGTCAGCAATCGTTGGCTGCTCAATCGACAACAAAAACATGACTTCTTCGTGATACCAACTGGGTGGTTCGGGTCTACCACGTTTCAGCAAATGTCGAGCGATGACGCTCCAGACCGTGGTGGGCTTTGCCTTGGAAGGCGTCCTCCGGATAAAAAGGCACCTTTATCTGAAGTCACTGCCCCAGGATTACCCAGCCAATCACCCTCCCACCACTGACGTCTCTCAACCGTTTTCATACTATCCTCTCAATCAATCACGCTTGTATTGGCACGTATTTAAACTGGAATAACAGATAGACTCGTGCACTTCTATATGCATGTGTGAACCCTCAGCTGCAATCTTCATGGCTAACTTGCACCATGTTTTATACATTCTCCGACATTTACTTGTACCTTTAACTTAATCATACCTACATTGGCGTGTCTCGCAATGCATGAGAAAAGAAATTATTTATTTATTTATCTGTCTAACTGTCTCATGTAGGATGGTGCACATATATAAGGTGAAACCGGTACAAGAAACAATGGATCGTGAGTATTGGAGACGCTAAGGCGTTACCGACGCAGGCGTTCAGGCGGCAGAGGCCTACTAATGGTCTAAAAGCCACATGATTTTATGCTGTGTATGACGGTATTAATGCGGATAAACTGCCCAAGGAATCACTGTAGGTGGATGCCAATCATACTTGGAAATGAAGGAGCACAGCTGCGCGTGCGCACTGACCGCCTGAAAATCACGTAACTGAATGTTACACACTTGTCGTATTTGAAGCGGACGACCAACTATAAGGTGCATTATACTCATAGGCTAAGTGAGCCACAAACAACATGTGGCAAGAGGCAGCATGTCTACTATTGGTGTAGTAGCCACTTGCGTTGTGACTGCGCGATTACCATAGGTGCACCAGATGGCCTGGATACTGGAGACAGCCTGCACAGGACGAGGTAAAGTGGTGAAGGTGCATTCAGAAGACGGACTATTTACCTGGAGCACATGGACCACATGACACGTATCTGTGACAGCACCCGAATATGCCAAGTAGGACCGGAAAAAGTAGCATTGGCAGCGAAGTACATTGATAGCCGCCACAAAGCAGAGCAACCTATTGTGTACGCGCGGCCGGTTGTAAGGTACGTTCACTGTAGCCCGGAACCTTAAGCGCTCCGCGAAAAATAGGGATGGCGCTACCAGTCCAGTTCCGTCAGTGAACCATATTGCGAACAGCAACGCGCGGGGAAGGCGATTGCCAAGACCCAAACAGCAAGAATAATGAAAGTTAACGAAGTAAAGATAGTTGCCGTGGATGCAAACAGCATGTAAAGCAAATGGATGCAAGAGGTGTATTAAAATAATCAGACCTGAGCGAAACTAAGTAAGCAGCTAAAAGAAATGGAATATGGGAACGCTACTGACTGCGCCACGTCTGCTACAGTCCTGCAAGCACCAGCCTGCTTGTCTCTTAGTCAATTACTTCATTCCTCCATGCCACCCCATGGAATACCCTTCAAGAGTTTTCTCCCAAATTAGTGCACCTGCGGAGTACAATACACGCCGAAGAAGCCGGTCAACACAGCCTGCCAAAATTACCCAGGCAACATCAATGAAAAATGAACAGCAAATGCTATAGTGCAGAACAAGAATATGTTTGGCGAAAAACAACTGCGGACCTACATATGAATGGAATAATTTTGGTGAGTATTTTGTTCGTCGCAATCAGCCGACAATTCAGATATGTCGACCAGCTGTCCGGAAAAGCACCAGACGGCCGTTTCGCCCTATTGGGGCTCATCAGTGGTGCGCATCCTTCGGTCCTCTGCGGAGGATCGAATCCATGACTGCTAGTGGCTCTTGCCAACTAGCCCGCAGCTTATGCAACTGCGCCATGGAGGACGGTATATAACTATCGTGAATCGTTAGCTAAATGCAATATAGCCCGACCTCATGATTGCCCCTGATGTTCCCACGATACCTGCGCAATACACGTCAAGAGCTGGTGGTCAATCTCGGGCAAGCTTTTCATGTCCACACCGCGGATTGGCCGGGTCTCTTACGCACCCATTAAACACAGCCTAAGCACAGTTTTGTCCAGTTAAACCTTTATTGCTAGGCTAACATAAGGCCGTTTCCATCAATCGTTCCGTCTCGGGAAGGCAGCAAGAGCTTTGCTGATACTCTACTTAATCTATCCACTTTTATGACCACCACAGTTGTCACAGCTACCAAGGTAAAAGAAGCGGGTTAGAGTCCACGACCTCTCACAGCAAAGCTGCGTAAACGTCCTCCTGCCCAGAAGCGTTGCTTTGCTTCAAACCGAAAACCCCCATGTGAAATCTCTCCCAATGTGAGGCGTCCGCCATTTACCCCCCATGCCAGCTCCTGCTAATTTGCAAGTAGCGGCCTTGAAGCAAGCCTGCAGAGCGACTTCTCTACCTTAATAAATAGTAGGTTTCTCAACTGACGGGGACACGAACGTGAGGAATTCGATCATGCATATACAGCAGCAAACGTACAAATGTTGATAAAACAAGCATATTTGTAAAACCGACATGCTGTTAATGTAAAAATAATTTCTGCACCTTGTTTAAGCGATGTGGTAAGCTTTTGTTTGTTGGTGTTCAAGGTAACGTAAGGATTGCAGGAGCTAAGTTCAAAAGGAACATTTGTAACGAAACCAAAACTGTAATGGGACTTTGAACGAACCGCCACTTTTAATTCTCTTTCTTCTTTCCTTTTTCAGACTCGAACACGTTGAACAATGAATGAATCGTTATGAACATATTTCCCATTTGACGCACCTACGGACCTTTTATACCATTTTTTGAACGACTTGCGTTTTTGTTTTGATTGTACCTTCGTTTTTGGTTGTCGAAGACACACGTTGCTGCTTCCCGTCGTGTTCTTCCTTCTGTGGTCGGTGACTGCCCGATTGGTTGCATCTCTTCGTGCTGCGTTCGCTGGATATCGTGACGCTCCTTCCTCATCCGATTGCATGTGTTAACGCATTCATAGACTAGTCGAGTTACTGTCGTGTGTGTTTACTGTGCGCTCCATTTCAGCCCGATCGTCTCTCGGCATTTCAAACCTGCTCTGACGGAACCGTTACATTTTGGTGACAGAGGTGGGATCATACACAAATGGACAACCAAGAGTTCAGCCCACCCGAAGTAAAATCTAATGTTCGCTGTTTTACACACGAAAATTCACATGGTTTTCGTCCAACGCCCCGACAGCCGCCAGTTTTTCAGCCGGACGACGACTTCGAAAACTGGGAATTTCAGGTCTCAGCCTACTTATCCACTATCCCCGAGAAAGCTGTCGGAATTATTATCCTCAGCTTTCTGAGCGACGAAGCTTTGCGCCTGATCCATTCAACGGGTATTACTCCGAAGTCTCCTTCCTCAGAGATATGGGAGGCTTTGCGCCAATATATATAATATTGGAGGGGGGGGGGGGGGGGGGGGGGGGGGGGGGGGGGTGGGGGGGGGGGGAGGGTTCTTATATATAAAATATATATGGGGGGAAGGGGGGGGGGGGGGGTATATATTATATATATATAAGGGTGGGTGGGGGGGGGGGGGGGGGGGGGGGGGGGGGGGGGGGGGGGGGGGGGGGGGGGGGGGGGGGGGGGGGGGGGGGGGGGGGGGGGGGGGGGGGGGGGGGGGGGGGGGGGGGGGGGGGGGGGGTGGGGGGGGGGGGGGGGGGGGGGGGGGGGGGGGGGGGGGGGGGGGGGGGGGGGGTGGGGGGGGGGGGGGGGGGGGGTGGGGGGAGGGGGGGGGGGGGGGGGGGGGGGGGGGGGGGGGGGGGGGGGGGGGGGGGGGGGGGGGGGGGGGGGGGGGGGGGGTGGGGGGGGGGGGGGGGTGGGGGGGGGGGGGGGGGGTGGGGGGGTGGAGGGGGGGGGGGGGGGGGGGGGGGGGGGGGGGGGGGGGGGGGGGGGGGGGGGGGGGGGGGGGGGGGGGGGGGGGGGGGGGGGGGGGGGGGGGGGGTGGGGGGGGGGGTGGTGGGGGGGGGGGGGGGGGGGGGGGGGGGGGGGGGGGGGGGGGGGGGGGGGGGGGGGGGGGGGGGGGGGGGGGGGGGGGGGGGGGGGGGGGGGGGGGGGGGGGGGGGGGGGGGGGGGGGGGGGGGGGGGGGGGGGGGGGGGGGGGGGGGGGGGGGGGGGGGGGGGGGGGGGGGGGGGGGGGGGGGGGTGGGGGGGTGGGGGGGGGGGGGGGGGGGGGGGGGGGGGGGGTGGGGGGGGGGGGGTGGGGGTGGGGGGGGGGGGGGGTGGGGGGGGGGTGGGGTGGGGGGGGTGGGGGGGGGGGGTTGGGGGGGGTGGGGTGTGGGGGAGGGTAGGTTTAGGGGGGGGGATGTAGTATGGGTAGGTGGGGTTGGATGGGGTTGGGAGAGTATATTTGGATTGGGGTGTAGTTATGATAGGGAATGGAAGAGTTTGGAGGGTGAATGAGTGGGGTAAATAATATGGATTGTGTATAGATAAGGTTTAACAATAACGCATTATAAGTTAAAGAGTTAGCGTGGGGCTGGTACTGCCACCGGTTTGGAAAGCGTGCTCAACACTGCGGGCATAATTCCCCGAGCAGGCCGCGAAGACCCCGTGGTAGGTCTGAACATTTAATGTCTGCTATTGTTTGTAATGCGATAATTAGTCCGTTGACCACGGTTGGTTTCCTGAACGACGCTGTTTTGTGTTTTTTGATTGACACTGGAGCATCAGGTTCTCTGTTGCGATTAGATGTAGCCAGTCGTCTCGGTGATCGTCGAGCATCCCGTATGAACCGGCCACGTGTAGTTACTGCTAACGGGTCTGAACTAACAGTAGTATCCTCCCTAATCGCCAGGGTCATTTTGGGCAAAATGGCAGCTACTCACGAGTTTTTAGTCTGTCGGAACCTTAAACGGGTAGCCATCTTGGGAATGGATTTTTTGGGCTAACACGCGAGTACTCTTTACCTCTCCAGCGCTACTTTGACACATGATCCGTTAAGGAACAGCACAGGCGACGCTCTGGGTTCATTGCATTCCTGTCCGGTTTCGCTCGAACCATCTGAAGCTTTACCGTTTATGTCCGACGTAATCAATCCCTTAAATAATGATACGACTTTGCCTCTAAAACACAAGATGCAACATTGTTCTTTGCTTTGAGAGTTTGAGGATTTATTTGGTGATGACAAGCTTGGACGTACAAGCATAATTCAGCATGAAATTTACGCCCTATTTGCCAGCCTGCCCGGAGAGTCCCCATACACTACCAACCACAACTCGATAATATGATTAAGGACATGTTGGAGAAGCACGTAATTCGTCCTTCAACGTCACCATGGGACTCTCCCATCGTCCTAGTTAAAAAGAAAGATGGATCCCTACGACTCTCTGTAGATTACAGGAGACTGAACGAGGTGACCCGAAAGGATTCTTTTCCTCTGCCACGTATCGATGCTACCTTCGATGCGCTCCATGGTGCACGTTGGTTTTCAACCCTCAACTTAGCCGCTGGGTACTGACAGGTGGAGGTCCGCCCATCTGATCGAGGTAAGACAGCTTTTATCATGCCATCGGGTTTGTATGAATTTGTGACCATGCCTTTTGGGTTGGCAAACGCTCCCGCAACGTTTCAACGGCTGATGCAAAAGGTTTTGGAAGGGCTGGTGCCGAAGGAATGCCTAATTTTCTTGGACGATGTTATAGTCCGTGGCAGTTCCGTCGAAGAACACAATGACCGACTGCGCATTGTCCAGCAACGGCTACGGCAAGCCGGACTAAGGCTGAAAGGTTCTAAGTGCCGATTCCTGAGTAGCCAAGTTACTTTCTTGAGTCATGTCAACATACCAAACGGTATCAGCACCGACCCTGGTAAATGTGAGAAGGTTCAATCGTGGCCACGACCTCGTAATGTGGAGTATCTACGAAGCTTCCTGGGACTTGCCTCATATTATCGCAGGTTTATTCGTAATTTCGCTACCATCTCGGCTCCGCTACATCGCCTGACCGAAAAGGGCCGACAGTTCCTTTGGACCGACGAGTGTAATCGAGCTTTCACGCAACTGAAAGAACGTCTATCATCACCACCAATTCTTGGCCTTCCTGACGTTTCTGATACAGCGGGACCATTCGTGCTGGATACAGACGCCAGTGCTGACGAGATAGGAGCAGTCTTGTCACAGAAAACATCAAGTGGCGAAGTTGTGATGGCTAACGCTAGCCGCCGTCTAGACAAACGGGGGCGCAGGTACAGCACCATCAGTCGCGAGTTACTGGTTTTGGTCAAGTTTCTCAGATACTTTCGACCATACCTCATTGGAAAACCGTTTCTGGTTCGAACGGATCACCAATCTCTTCTGGGGCTTCGAAACTTCCGTGACCCTGAGGGATAAGTTGCGCGATGGCAAGAACAGTTACAAGAGTACGAATTCACATGTAAATACCGGCCCGGCGCACGACACGCCAATGCAGACGCGCTTTCCAGACTTCCTACATCGGACGAAGTGAACGCGGTTTCACATGATCTAGAGGTGGATGAAGCATGGGCTAATGACCAATCTGATGACCCTTATACAGGCGTATATACATATACAGGCGTCAAATATATACAGGTGTCAACTGGGTGGATCGTCGAAACCTTCTGGGATCGAAATGCAATCTCTATCAGCGGAGGAACGTGCGCTCCGGGGAAATTGGGGTAGTTTGAAGGCCATCGGTATAGTTTTGTAGTTGCTGGATAAGTCTGGTCCGAAACTTATTACTCCGACGGTGCGAATACCACCTGTTTTACCGAAAGTTCACAATGAGTTAGGCCACGCGGGTCAGCGGAAGACGGAAGCTGCTGTACGCCAACGCTACTGGTGGCCGGGGATACACGCCGATGTTACCAAGTTCTGCAACGAGTGCGACATTTGTACTTCTGTGAAGTCACCTGCAACCGTACCGCGAGCTCCACTGATGCCCATGGTCACTAACGCACCGGGTCAACGCATTGGTGTAGATCTGATGGGCCTTCTGCCAATCACGGCGAATGAGAATCGACACATTTAGTCCTCGTCGACTACTTTACGAAGTGGTGCGAAGCAGTTCCAATCAAACAACCCGATGCAGCAACGGTCGCATCGGCTTTTGTAAACGAATGGGCTGCTCGATATGGCGCCCCATTTTCACTTCATTCAGATCAGGGCGCTGCTATCGAGAGGTAACTGATGCGCGAAGTTTGTCGGCTGCTCTCTATCAGGAAGACGCGGACTACACCTTATCACCCCCAGGGAAACGGACTGGCAGAACGTACGAACCGAACTATCAAATGAATCCTCCAAACTTTTATTGAACGACAACAGACGAATCGTTGGGATGAGCTTTTACCACAATGCATGATGGCTTACCGTGCGGCAGTGCATGCAACCACGGGCTACTCTCCAGCTTATCTGACACACGGTCAAGAGCTTCGGTTGCCGGTAGAACTGATGTCTCTGATCCCACCGCTAGCGGCTTGTTCTCTCTTGGACTATGTACGCGATCTACGGGAGCGTCTTTGATCTGCGTTCCTCAGCGTCCAGCTAAACATGAGAAATGCGCAAAACCGCCAAAAGCAGTGTAACGACCAGCGCTGTCTCGGGCCAGGATACCACGTAGGAGCTCATGTGTGGCTGCACCGACCAAAGCCTCCTGCAGGCGCGTCCAGTAAATTTCATCGCCAATGGCAAGGCCCTTACGAAATTGTGTTTATCCGTTCCCCCACGGCATATGTAATTCGGAGCGTAAATGAGCCGAGATCAGACGTTTTAACTGTTCATTACAATCAATAGAAACCGGCTAATTTGCCATCGAACTCTGCACCATCAGCCAAAATAGTTCCCCCGGGATGTCTGCCAATGGTGGAAGGAACTGTAGAGATACCACCCGAAGGCGGGATGGCTACGGCAGCAGAGACGGAGGCACTGAGGGCAGTGCCCAATGCAGGAGGGTGGCAGTGTAATGAAACCGAAACTGTAATGGTACTTTGAACTAACCGCCACTTTTAATTCTCTTACTTTTTTCCTTTTTCAGACTCGAACACGTTGAACAATGAATGAATCGTTATAAACATATTTCCCATTTGACGCACCTACGGGCCTTTTATACCATTTTTGAACGACTTGCGTTTTGTTTTGATCGTACCTTCGTTTTTGGGTCAGAGGCACGTTGCTGCTTCCCGTCGTGTTCTTCCTTCCGTGATCGGTGACTGCCCGATTGGTTGCGTCTCTTCGTGCTGCGTTCACCGGATATCGTGACGCTCCTTCCTCATCCGATTGCATGTGTTAACGCATTCATAGACTAGTCGAGTTACTGTCGTGTGTGTTTACTGTGCGCCCCAATTCAGCCCGATCGTCTCTCGGCATTTCAAACCTGCTCGGTCGGAACCGTTACACATTACCTAGGGTGTTTGCTTACATGACTGCGCGTTGACCTGAATTGTTAATTGTCTCGGGAACTGTAGCACAGCATAAGAATGAATCCACGAAACTAGCCTAGCAATGAAAAGTAACGCTATTTGGAATACATTATTATAGAATGAGTTTTCCTTAATAACCCGAAGGAAAATTCTAAAAAGGTATGAAGTACTTGACCCGGACTTAGCTTACGTATTTGCGGGCTTAAAAAGCTATACTCCTGAATTTTAATAAGAACATTTATTCAATAATTTTGAGTTGTATTTTAAGAAAAATGGCTGGAAAATTGTTTTGTACCTAGCGTTACTACGCAATTTTCCTGTACTCGATGCGTCATCAAATACGAGTTTGTTTGGGTTGTCAATGGCTAAACCGCGCGACCCATTTCTTCTGTTTGTGCAATTTTTGAGCGGAATACGATACTTTGTTCCGAAAGCGGATCGTCCCATCCAACAGTAAATTGCAGTTTTCTCCATGGTCTGCTTTTCGCCGAACTCAGAACTCCGGTATTGCTAAGTAAAAATGTAAATAAAACAGAGAAAAGCTTTTGCTGTGCATCAGTTGCCCGTGTTACAGTGCAAATAACGAAAATAAAATGCTTGATTATTTTATGAGTTCAACAAATGGTTTATTTATCTACCTTTTGTGCCACTATATAAATTGTAGCGAGCAAACATCAAAATAGGTAGCTGTTAAAATTTTCCTTTTTGTCATGTTGAACTAATGGGATTACTTTTGCAACATCGGTAGGGCGTCCTATGTGCATGCACAAACTACTTTCTCGGGAGCTGGGCTCTAACCAATGGCGAATTTTGTTACGGGCCAAGGTGAAATGCGACAGCAGGCATCAGGAGAGCAATCGCGAGACTTAGGTATTAATTGTTATGGTTTTACTAATGAAAAGAAATGTACTGCATA